TCATTTACTTTTTTTAATCTGGTATCAATCTGTCGACCTAAATAAACAATGTTATAACTTAATTCGTAGTTTCTTGAAGTATCTAAAAATTGAATACGTCATAGCCCATGAGCAAATCCATTGCTTGGTCAAAGATTGACGATTGTAGATGATACCGTTGTCGAACTATTGAGGTCCAAAGTTTTTAGGTAAATAGCCAAAATCTAGAGAACGGTTGATAAATTGCAGAAATCATTTGTCTCATGATGTGACCCAACAATTTTTAACGACGAATAACAAGTTTCAGCTCGCTAACTGATATGGTCTCAGAGATAAATCAATTTAAGTAAAAATCGAACTTATGTCCTTTATTTTGAACTTAAAACTTTATTTCTAAAAATAAATGCATTTTCTGGTTTGCCATAAAAACCTAGCCCTGGGAAATGAGTTTGATGAAAAAAGCTGTTTCCTTAGCTGAACAAAAGGCAATCGAAGTTTCAACTTTGACCTCAATTTTCTCGAAAACTGTCTATCGGAAGAATTATTTGATAGCACTAATGGACTCAGTTTGCATTTTTCTACAAAACCCACCAAGTCTAAACTCTTTACTCAAATATTCGAGTCTCTGGCAACACTCTTTGCAATTCATTTGCAAGTTAAACCAGAAAATTGCTTTATTCACCAATATATGAGCTAATATGAGTTTATTTTGTTAAATAAGTTGTTTCTTGTCCATTTAAAGCCCAAAAATGATGACCCAAGTGGACAAATGAAAATTTATTACATTGAATTGAGTTATTAATCAATAAAGAATTAAATTGGTGAAAGAATAATGACTTTAGGTATCACCAATCTCGAAGTATTGAGGCTCAAAGTTTTAAGACCAATGGCCAAAACCAAGTGAACTGTTGTTGAATTGACAAAAGTAGTCGGTTCGTGATGTGAAAATACGATTTTTAAGTTACAAAGCACAAATAATAAGTTTCAGCACTCCAACTCTTACGGTCACAGAAATCGATCAGTGCTACTAAAATTCGAACTCATCCGTTTTCACAGAAAAAGAAAAGTTATATTTCTCAAAATAAGTGCATTTTTTGGTATCTAATAAAAAATTACATCAGCAAAGTGAGTTGAATGCAAAAATCTGGTCACACAACTGTACTAAAGGCAATCGAAGTTTCAACTTACCCTCGATTCAACGCGACTCGACGAATGGATTCAGTTTATGTCTAATGTCCCTACAAACAAACAGAGTATAAATGTGAAAGAAATTCAATTTTTGCCAGTTTTTTCGTAACAACCTAATAAAAGTTTTCCGACTCCTTTACATGCAATATTATTTAACGTCTAGATTTACAATCTCTAATCAGGGATGTAATTGAATTGATTTATTTGAGTTTGTCTGGTATCTCATTTGTTTCTGATGATAACCAACTTACATGGAAACGTAGAGTGAGCATTTGAGTGCTCGTTTCGTGTACTCATTCTGAAGACATCTTGATAAACTCTGAAACTTACATAATTATTGCGGTTATTACAGACTGATTCAGCTGTTTATTCAGGTATTAATCTCGGTAACATTTTATCTCAACTTCATCCTAAAATTATTACTATTTACTTTTATTTATTAAGACAATAGACAAGTCATGCGATCATTTGATCGCGACAAACTTATGATACCATGATTTGAAAGGATGATTCGGATGTTAATCAAAAAATTCATTCACTCCTGCAAGAGTATTTCCATGTCTTAACCAGAGATTAAATTATATTCAAGATTATACGATCAGAGATGATCAGACAACGATAACTCTGAGTGAGTATATAAATATGTCACTCAGAATAGGCGAAACATTCAAACTTGAAAATTTGATATTTACACTTATTATTATAATATTTCACTACTTTTTATTGCATTGAACTAGAAATGGTCAGTAAAACAAAATATCGTATTCTCATGTCAAGTATCGACGCGTAAGTAACTCATTTTTTCAAATTCATTATCGAATATTCATAATTAGCTTTATAAACTGATATTTTATTCAATTAATTTTAATCCATTCACTTGTTCAATAGATTCGGACACATCAACTGCACATTGGCATTGGGTGAGATCCTTGCTTCATATGGACATCAAATAACATTTGCTCATCACTCTTACCACAAGAAGCTTGCCGATAAACGAAACTTCAAGTTCATTCCTTTTGATGCAAAACTCTTTGAGAATGTTCGACCTGCCTCAGCGGTTGAATGGCACGATGGACATTTACACAAATTCCGTGTTGATGCATTATCAATCTTTAAAGACTGGACACCAGAAGATATCGAAAATTTTGGCGAAATTGTTAATGTATTTGAACGCAACAGTTTTGCATTAGAAGCTATATTCAAAGAAAATGCAGATAACTTCGACTTGTTTATCGGTGATTTTGTTATGAGACAACCAGCTTTTTATCGAGCGTCTTTTCCTTGTGCATTGATTCACTCAATGAACCCACTTCCTCTCTATCCCAATGGACCTCCACCATGGTCAGGTTTTTCAGTGAAGGAAAAAGACACTGAAAAGTGGGATAAATTTCGAGAACTGAGTGGAGTAGCTTTAAGAGCTATTCGTGAAAATTTATATTCTTGGTGGAGATCTAATGGAACACCTTTGCCTGCTATGCAAGATACAAGAATCGAGAATTGGTTTAATGCTGAACCTGAACAACTTGGTATTTATCATTACCCCGAACTTTTAGATTACCATGAAATTGGTCCAATAAGGTCTGATAAATGGATTCGACTAGATTGTGCCATTCGCGAACCAGACAATGTGGAACCATTTATTATCCCTGAATCATTGAAGCATTTGCCAGGAAAATTGATTTACTTTTCATTGGGTTCATTAGGGTCAATTCAAATAGATTTGATGAAAAGTTTCATTAAAATCTTGTCAAAAAGTCCTCATCGTTTCATCGTCTCTAAAGGTCCTAAAGGAGATCAGTTTGAATTGGGATCAAACATGTGGGGTGAAAATTATGTCAATCAAATAGGTATTCTTGAGGTTGTTGATTTGGTCATTACTCATGGTGGGAACAATACATTTTTGGAAACAATTTATGCTGGAAAACCTTTGATTGTGGTTCCTTTTTTCATGGATCAACCCGATAATGCTCAACGAGCAGTTGATTGTGGAATTGGTTCTCGAATCAATCTTTATGAAATTGATGAAGTTAAAGTTTTAAACACTATCGA